TATTGTACATGGCAAAGTATTAGAAAAATGGGGATTATCCAAACCCAGCACTCACTGGCAAAGGAAAGGAAGAGAGAGGGAGGAGAAAGAGAGAGAGAGGGAGAGACCTAAAATTATTGAGAAAAGGGCTAGAAGAACACTATATTAATGAGGGAAAATGAAAAGTTTTTTCTCTAAAATCTTTCGCTATTCTCATTAAAAATGGTGGCCGGCCTCACCTAGGCAGAACAGTAGAGCTGGTCCTGGTGGCATGGGTACAGAAGAGCAGACCCTGATGATGTGAGGGGGAGAGCTGCCCTACCCCTTGCCAGCTGCCACGGGCAGAAGAACTAGCCCAGCCCCTCACCTGAACAAAGAGGAGAGGTGGCCTTGGTGGTGTAGGTGCAGGAGATCTGGTGGGCTGACCAACTCGCCTATAGCCCAGGCCCAGAAGCAGGGTTTTGAGTTGGGTCACCCCATTATCTCCCCCATCTAAGAACTGCTGGAGCAGGTGCAGGGGCCAGTCTCGCAGATCTAAGGCTTCAGGATCTCCATGGCACAGGACAACAACAGGATAGTTGAGAGGAGTCCAGGTGAGGATCCAGTATTGATAGTGTAGCAGAAGCCAGAGACATCGTACCAGACCAGTGAATCATTGCAGTGAACATTTGCAAGTAAAGCTCTTTGGGCAAAGGGGTAGACTGTATGACACACCGTGACACACTGCAGCTTCCATGGTGAGATGTTTTGGTTTGGGTTTTTGGTTTTTGGGTTTTTTTGTTGTTTTTTTGTTTTGTTTTGTTTTGTTTTACTTTTTCAGGGAGGTGAGGGCTTCAAGGGCCGGGGGACGAGATGAACGGATAAGGAGATGAGTGGGATTGGGATGCATGATGTGAACTTTACAAAGAATCAGTAAAAAGGATTTTTAATGGTGCTTGGAATCCTAGCCAAAGCAATAAGGCAAACATAAGAAATGAAAACAATACAAATAAAAGAGGAAAACATTTCAACTTCTACCCGATATGGTGTGATACTTAGGTCCTAAAGAATTCCTGAAAAACTCTTAAAACTGGAGTGGCACAAGAAATGGCTCAGCAGTTAGGAGCAGCTACTCCCCAGGGGACCCGAGTTTGGGGACCCAGTACTCTCTTCTGGCCTCACTTGACTCCTGCATACACACACACACACACACACACACTGCAAACAAAACCTTACAGGCACACACGTACAGGCATTAAAATATAAACAAACTAATATTTTAAAACTCTTGAAATAAATGAGGAATCACAGGAAAGTGGAGAGATAGCAAACAATCAGTGGTGTGACTGGGTACTTGACACACAGAAGACTGAGTTCAAGGCCAGCCTTGACTATTGTCAGCAGCTTCTCCCTAGAATTCTTATTTCTGTTGTTTCAAATAAACATCCTGAAGTGCAGATGCTGGGTCACATGATATTCTTCCTTGTGATTGTTTAAAGAATCTCCATAGTCATTTCCAGACCTCCTGTACCATTCCATATTTCCACAAAAACACAACATATTCACTTCCTTGTCAACACGGTTATTCAGATTTTACTGGTATTAGGAATAAAATTTCATTGTTGTAATTATTTATAAAATCGAGTAATATATCACAGTTAGTAACACCACACATAATCAGTGTCAAGGGTGTGATGTTCCTGGTGATCTGGAAGATCAATCTAAGTTGTTCCTCCTCTGTCTCATGCTCAGGTAGGTACCATCAAGAACAGGTGTGTCTCACCATCTCCCAACATCTGTGGTGGACTACCCAAATACATTTTGAGAGATGCACATTTATTTTTCAAAGTCCTCAATTAAAATGTAGTGCACTCTACTAATCTTGAAGTCATTCATTCTTTCATGCTGTCCTTGTAGATGAGGCTTTATTCCTATGTACACTTCTGTTGAGATCAACTTTCCAAGAATAATGGCAGCTATTGACTTTCAGTCTCCAGGCACCTGAGTGCACAGCCTCAATGGCGGTATTTCTGATGTTTAATAGTAAAGTAATGCTACAGGTAACATTGAGAAACAGTCTTTTATACAGAGTTCTGTTTCAGATATAGCATCTGACTAGGCAGACACATAAACAGCCTGAGACCAGGCAAAACAGGTTCCAGTTTTTGGTTGACCTGCTATTCACCCCCAGATTCATAACCATCTCATTGGAATACACTCCCCTAGTACATTCCCATTTCTCCCTAACAGTGTCATCTGACCTACACTGTGTCTATCCCAGCCAGAAACCATCTTATTTGAGGGTGGAAAGCATAGAATGACCACCAGAGATGTTGGCAAGTCCCTCTCTCCAAAAAAGATCAAGGGGAACTTTCCACTAGCTGTTTACATCCTCGCTTGTTATGGGAACTCTATCAGCCAATAGTCTTTCAGGTGCCGGCCAACTTTGGGTATGGTCTCGTGTACTATAAATGGAGACGAAAAACATGAGCCGCCTTTTTTCCTGCTGGATTCTGTTCCAGTTCCCAGCACATGTAGAGAATTGTGGATAGCTACCCTTACTGTGGGCTTATCCCCAAATAAATAAACCCTTGTTATACTCCATTCCGGGCTATTGTGTAACTCTTTGGTACTATAACACTCACTCTGTCCCCTTATCCTAAAGGACCCTCAGCCTCTGAAAGAGAAGCTGATTGGCCCATCATTTGTCTCCTACCTACCCCTACCAAAAAATAAACCTTTCTTCACACACAAACAAGAGAAGAGAGGCTCTTACAGAGACAGAAGTCTGGACTAAAGGAGATTCAGGCTAGAAGCCGACCATTTAGTGCATCTCTGTGGGTGTCATGACATCATGTTCATCTCCAGCAACTTTTTTCAATCTAAATACAGGCAAAGATCAGCTTTGTTGAAGAGAAACCACCTCGATCCAAGTCTTATAGGCAACAAACACTTGACAACACGGACAGACGACATCTTTAATCCCAGCACTAGTGAGGTAGGGGCAGGTGGATCTTGGTAAATTCAAGGTCAGCCTGGTCTACAGAGTTAGTTCCAGGACTGCCAGGACTACACAGAGTAATCCTGCCTCAAAAACACCAAATAAAAAGCAAACAAACAAAAAACACATATAGTGCAAAAAAGGAGAAACTATCCAAGAATAAGTATAGTAAAAGAAGGACTAGTCTCCTGCAAAAGTAAAAAGCACCAAAATTTCATGATAAGCAAGCTTTCCAGGTACCCAGATGTGTACGTCCACCCATAGTGTTTAAAACAAAAGCAATTGTAGCTGCATTGTTTTGAATAGTCCCAAACTGTAAACAGCCTATTTTCTTGGGAAAAATTTCAAGCAATGAGTGATATCAAATTCATTTAGTGGTATAGTGTTGCAGGATAATGCTCTTATATACTTTAAAGATTTTAAAATTATATTTGTTAAATAAATCTTTATTGATCAATAGCCAGGTAGTAAGTATAAATGGAACTGTCAGGCTAGGAGAATTCTGTGAAAAGGAAAGGCAGCGTCAAACTCACAAGTCAGATGCCGATGAGGATGTCTTACTGAGAAGAGGGACCAAGGCACATGGCTAAGCATAGATAAGAATGATGGGTTAATTTAAGTTGTGAGAGCTTGTTAATAATAAGCATGAGCAGACAGTTTATAATGAATATAAGCCTCAGTGTGTTTATTCAGGACTGAATGGCCACAGGATTAGACAGGACAGAAACTTCCATCTACAGTATATTACGAAGGAATGAGAATAAACAAAGTGAGGGTCATGATGGTGAGGACTGTCACAATCATCTTATGATTAAAGACATCAACAGATTTTGATTTGCAAAGATGTTAAAACTGATGCCAGTGTTGGAAGACTGACCCTCTAAGACAGTGATAAACAGCAATTGAGGATGAGTGATATGAAATGGTTTGTAAGGACCGAAGTTAATTTCTATTTCTTTAATAATTCGGTGGCTGTGTTCACCATTTAATCTCTCAAATGGGAAATTAATTATGTATGTATTTTTAGTATTAATAGTAGACTAGAATGAGGGAGAAAAAGTAAGAAAGATAGAGATACACATCCCCATAGATAAATTAGGTAATAAATTAGATACATTTCAATAAACATAATTCTATCACTAAATGGAAAGAAAAGAGGGAGAGTAGAAAAGAAAATGAAGAAGAAATTCCAGACAGAGAGGAATAGTGATAAAAGTAAAGAGAGTCAGGCAGAAGAAGGAAATCGGGAGATCACCAGTCTAAGGTCACTGCCCCTGCAGACAGCCAAGTGTGCACTGGATGGAGTCACCTACTCAGCCTCCTTTGTCTGGATCTACGTGCTTCCTCTCCAAGAGTTCCCAGGAGAAGACAGTCACTCAGGACTGATGGCCACCCACATCTCCGCTGATGCCTCCTTATTCCTAATGCACACTTTCTATAATCACCAATGCTGGTTCTACTCTGCTAAGAAACACACCATTGCAAAGACCCTTATTTCAAGCTACCTTTAGTGAGGCCACGAAACACAGGGGTAAGATTTTATACAGAGATTGACACTTCCATGGGACAGTTTGAAACTGGATTTATGAGAAAACAGACAGAGAACTAGGTGTTGAGTCCATCATTGTGAATACAGCACTCTCATGCCCAGAGACATTTATAAATCTAAGCACAGATGGCAGAAGAAGTTGTAAGAACGAAGGAATCTTGACCTTTTCATAGAGTAAGAGCTACCAAATGACCAGATGACAATAGGAGTTAGAACAAAGTTGATGGGATGAACCATTGAGTTATTGGACAGTGTTCAAGTAAGCTATCCCAAAATAAGAAACGAATGCTTTCAAATGATTCAGAGCATTACATGAGAATGTCCTTCTCCATGAACACAAATTAAATATGGAAATGGCAAACAAAGAGGAAGAGTCTCTCTGATTGGCCCAAGAATTGGAGGCCCATAGTATAAAAGGGCTTGACTGAAAGAACTTGCTACACTGTTGAAAACTCACCTGTGAACAGAGTAAACCCCTCCACACCTGATACCATGGCCCTCTGCTGCTGCCCACCTTGCTGTGAGCCATGCTGCTGCAAGACCACCTGCTGCAAGACCACCTGCTGCCAGCCCTGCTGCTGTGAATCCAGCTGCCCCAAGTCCATTTGCTGTCAGCCTTGCAGTCCCCCAAGTTGCTGCAGCATACTCTGCTGCCAGCCCTGCTGCTTAAAGTCCTGCTGCTGTGTGCCCACCTGCTGCCAGCCCTGCTGTTGTGTGCCCACCTGCTGCTGTGTGCCCACCTGCTGTGAAAGCACCTGCTGTGAAAAAACCTGCAGTAAGACCACCTGTTGCAAGCCAACCTGTGTGAACATCTGCTGCAGCACACCCTGCTGCCAGCCCTGCTGCTGTGTGCCCTCCTGCTGCCAGCCCTGCTGCTGTGTGCCCTCCTGCTGCCAGCCATGCTTGCTCCAGCTCTGCTGCCAACCAACATGCTGTGAAACCAGCAGCTGCAAGACCACCTCTCTTAAACCAACCTGTTTGATCATCAGCTGCAGCACACCCTGCTGCCAGCCCTGCTGCTGCTGACCAGCTCCCCTAAGGAACATCTGCACAGCCTCACTCTGAGGAGGAGAGCAGAAATGACGTAGATGCAAAGTCACACATTAACATTTGAAGACCACCTTTATTTTCTCACCAGAAAGCCTGTGGGATGTAAAATCTTACTTAACTGTGGGAAATGCTGTGAGGAAAGATGGAGTCCTTCACCCTCACTCTCCTCATCCAGAGATTATGGATCTTGTGCCATCGTCATGGGGGGCTGATGTAAATGTCTGATATCACTCTAAATTCTGAGTCATAATCTCTATCTCTATATTTTTCACCAAATAACTTAAGGAAACATTTTTCCCCCAAATAAACCTTGATTTAATCTATAATTTTATCAACTGTATTTTCTTCTGAATCACTCCTAGATTTTTATGTACCATTTTCTTCTTTCTGCTCACTTATGATATGTGTCTCTGGAAGCAATCAGTTTTAATAAACTCTGTGCTATATCATTCCATAGTGTCTGTCATTTTATTTTGATGAGTCATTTAATGAAAAATTTACATATCCAATAGAATTTTAAATGTTCCATCTGGTCTCCTGAATCAGTGAAAAAAGCATGGTGTTGAACAGTAGATACATGGAAGGTTTATATTGCAAATATTGAAATTTAATAACCAGTGATTGCCACCTTCCTAGTACTTCTAATCTCAGCTTCCATAAACCAAGGATGTGCTATCTGGCTTTGTAAATATCATTTTGGTGAGTCATATCTAGCAATAGCTTTCCTGTCATATTTTCCTCATCCATTTGCATGTAAAGGAGCATCTAAGACTCAGCTACATCTTAACAATTGTTAATGGGATTAACATACACTTGGAAGTGTGGGTATCATTTTAGGATTCTGATTTCAACCATGTCATTTGCTAGAAAATGCTTGCATATGAGATTATCTTGTTGAATGAAATAAACCAAACTCAAAAAATTACCAAGCAAGTGTTCTCACTTATAAACCCAAGATTTTACAGAGAAAATTCAAATCCTATAGATTTTCTATGAACAAGATGACAGCTAGTGAGGGAAGAAGCTATGGAAGAGCAAATATCATCAAAGCACACGAGTCCATGACTTACTTAAAGGAGTTCACAGATTCCCTCACTACATTCAATAAATGGGCACAATTAAAAATAAAAATTTAAATTAAAAGAAGATTCTGATTCCAATTAACTTGAACAAATATCCTAAGATATGGCTACTGAGTCATAAAGTCCCTTTACTTTAATTTTTTTGAGCAGTCTTTGTAAATTTCTGCACACCTGCTATTTCTTCTTATTCCTCCTACTGTGCAAGAGTTCCAGCTTCTGGGGCTACAGGGATGGTACTGTGGGTAAGAGCACACATTGCTCTTGAGTACAAACTTCGGTTCATTTCCCAACATCCACATAGCAACTCGCAACCACCTGCAATTCTTCTGACATCCCTGAGCATGTGCTGTACACACATACATGCAAGCAAAACACTCATATACATAAAATATAATAAACAATCATTTCAATTTTTTTAAAGTTTAAAGAGTCCCAATTTCTCCACATATGTGTCAACTCTTCTTTTTCTGATACTAGATAGACAACATTCTAATGCTGCAAACATTATAAAAAATAATATTCCAGTGTTTGGCGATGTCTCATGCCATCAGGGAAAAATAACACAGGCAACGACGTAACATTGTCCCTCTGCTGTGCTTCATGGGACAAGGTACTGTCTAAATGTGAATTCCTGTGCTCTACGAGTCCGTGCTTCATCAGCTGATTATCTGTAGAGAAATGGCATTCCTTCCCATAGACTGTACCTGTGCCTGCTCCCCTAACCTCTGACCTGCTCATTTATGCTAAATGCCTCTGTAACTATTTCTGTTGTTTTCTTTATAAAAAGAACAAACAAACAAACAAAATCTCTCTATATAGCCCTGGCCATCCTAGAACTCTCACTGTAAGCCACTGTGGCCTTGAACTCACAGAGATTTCTCTCCTCTGCCTCCCAAGCACTGGGTTTAAGGTGTGGTGATGTGTGGATGGATACGTGTGCAAATTAAAAGTTGTGCCCTTAAAGGGAATCTGAAATCTTGATTTTTGTCTTGAGCACCTGGATGTGTTGTTTCATGGTGAGATTTCTGACTTAGTGAAAGTTTTTGTTACCATTTAAATCACCCCCAAACCCTGAAAACATCCTTTTCTGGAACTTAGAGTTCAGATTTCATACATGACACTTCTGTAGCCAGCCATGACGTATTCCAGGACCTTGGTTATTTGGAAACAGAGGACAGGAGGAAACCGAATACAAATAGTTTCCTGAAGTTCACCCTAAGATTCATTACATCCCATCTGACACCTCCCTAGTGAATTCCTGCTGACAGTGTCATCACTACACTGAGCAGTCAGCTTTCAACTCAGACTCGCGCTGTATCATAGGAGAGTTAAAGGAATAGGAAGTTCACCAATACTGGATTCCCCACTCAGAATAATTCAAGGACGATGTTCTTATTAATTACCTAAAACACTCCTCTTTCTTCTTTGACCAACAGGGGATCCTCTTATCCTTTATTTATATAAAATATTGCTTGACCTGCTGGATCTCTCTTCCTGTACTCTGGCCAAGTATGAGGGTCATGGCTTAGGGGTATCTCTGCTATTTTCCATGATTCCCAGAAGAAAAAGAAGAACTGGTTTAGTGTCAGAAAATAGAATCCCTGTTATTTTATCCCTTCATGATAGGTTTTAAAGTTAGTTATGAGTTTATCTGCCATACATATCAAAGATTTATAAATATATAGATATTTGAAATTTTGCCTACAAATATTATATGCACCATATGAGTGCAGTGCCTACAGAGGGCAGAAGGGTCATCTGATCACCTGGAATGTGTGTTACAGACAGTTGAGAGTCACCATGTAAGGGCTGAGATCTGAATCTGGGGTCTCTGCAAGAGAGTGCCCTTAACAGCTGAGTCATCACCCCAGCTCCGAAAGAACATTCTTCATCAACTGAGAGCTTCATCTATGATGTCTTTGAGAGTTTGGATGTCTCTGTCAGTAGAATAACTAGATGTCTTCTCAAAGACCAGAGAGCTTGCACACTTCTTCAGGTTCTCTTCGGTGAGTTTAGCTGACAAATCCTTTTCTTTGACCTTAAAGCATCTATAAGGGAAAAGAAACAAAAAGAAGAATGCTATAGCATGTAAGTGCTCAGAAGAAACATTAACATGTGCAAAACATCACTGTACTATTATAAAGCACAGACCCTAAACAGAAGATCTATGTTGCCATTTTTAACATTTTGAGCAATTTTATTACTAGTATTATCATCATCATCATCATCATTGTTTAAATTTGTTCTCTGACAGTTTCAAACATGTATAAAATGCATGATGATTACTCTCACCCCCACTTTCCCATATTTCACTGTCACCCATGTCTACTCATCCCCTTTATACAAATCTCTTTTCCATCCTAATTTTTATTTGTTTTGGTGCGTAGCCCAAAGAGTTAATCCAGGCATGTCCATGTGACCATGAGTTTGGAGTTATCCACTGGAGCCTGGTGGGCTCAGCAGAGAGAACACAAGTGAAATCAATGACTCTTCCTTTCGCAGAATTTATTCATAACCAAGCATTGGGTCTGATGAGCCCCTCCCCCTTCTATCATTGATTATTGACAGGGTCAGTCTTGTGCAGGTTCAGTGAAAGCAGCTACAGCTGCTGTGAGTTTACAAAATCAATGGCTGCCTTGAGACTTAGGGGATAACATTTTATGGCCTTTCTTCCTTTATTCCTGCTCTCACAGTGTTCCTCCCCTTCCTTTTCAATGTTCTCTGAGCCTTACAAGGATTGGTATGAAAGTCTTTCTTAGTGCTCTCATTATGTGGAGCACCTTGTCAGCCTTCTATGGTGATACCTTGCTTGTACAAACAAAGCTTGCCTGAAGATCAGAGGGTGGAGCTAGTCACCAGCTAACCATAGAGGTCTAGAATCTGTACAGTCAGGAAAAGTTACGGGTGGGTGGAGAGTGGAAATGATAAAGCAGGAGGAAAAGGTAATTCATTCTCTTTTCAGCCTGGAAGTTCAGAGCTAAGGTCGCTGTGGTTTTGCTCCTTTATCTCTCTGATCTCTCAGCATTTTCCCCAATATTGGACCCCAGACGTTTATTATGAACACATATTAGAATATGTGCTACATGTTGGCACCAAAAGTGGGGAAGAGATTCACAAAAAAGTCACTTGCCTGTGGCTTTGTAGCCACCCGCACAAGACAGATCTGCACGTGGTGATACCGTTAGAGCTGCCCTGACTTGAAGACTTCCTTTTCTTTTTTCCCCAAGGCTCTGAGCAAGTTTGGAATTTTCCTGGTGTAGCCTCACTGAAACAGTTTCCAGCTGCCACCCAAACCCCAGAAGCACATGGGTTCCAAATGCCGCAGAACTTACCTGCCCTAGACCAACAGGGTCTGCCCTGAAACATCCCGCCACGTCACCTCATGTACTTGTTCCACACAGTCCCTATGTGGTTCTCCAAGCATCAGCTTGCTCTCTCTGTCTATGTCTCTTTCTGTCCTCTGTCTCTGTCTCTCTGTCTCTCTGTCTCTCTGTCTCTCTCTTTCCATCATGGCTTTCGGGTTTTCTTTATACCCCATATCCCTGGACTGCCACTCACAGCTCACGTCTACATGCTAGTAACCACAGCTGTTCTCAGACAGACTGTCCACTGCCTGTGTTCTCTGCTCAAATGACAGTTCACTGACACTGTCAACAGATTTGGTGAGACAATTGGAAATACTTAAAGGGAGGAATTAGTTAAAAATCATTGTTTTTCTCACATTAAAAAAAGGAAAACGCTATTACAAAGGAGGGATTTAGGTCTCTCTATGATGATACGCTGGACCGTTTGAAACTGGAACATTTAAATGAGAGGACAACTATTTAGATGGAACTTATGTAATGTAGATTCTAAAAATCATCAGTTTTATCATCTTCGTTTTTTCACTAAAAT